TGTTGTTTAAGCTGAGCCAATCATGGGCATGAATGATGTTACAAAGCATCAAAACTGCTCATAAACATTGAACAATGGAATGAAAAGATACTTGGAGGAGTGTTGAAACAAAATGTAGTTACTCCAGTAAGAAACCCATCAATTTATTAGAACACATGATTCATATTCCTTTGCTAGCACAGTTTGTAAAGGGTTCACAGATCACCCCAGACACTTCAAAAAACATCAACATTCTAGAGAGCAAAAGACTTTTCTGCCTTCAAATATAGTGAGTATTTTCAGGTACAGATGCTTTCACACACTGCACTACTGGCATTTGTGTCCACATTAACAGCAAAATCATCTCACATCTTACTAAATCACAAGGGAAAAGAAGCCTTGTTTGATGACTGCAGAAAAATTAATTTGGTATTAAGGGATACTCCTCTAATTAATTAATGCTTCATTTGGTGGCTAAATTGTTCCAAGTGTAACAACTATAAAAACATGTACCTAGTTTTGATTTTTTTTTCTTCTAATTCAGTACCATACAATCAAAAGCAAAGCAAGATTAGGCTACAGAAGAAATCTGCCTAACAAAATGAAAATACTAGTTTAAATGTTAATAATAGATGCAGTCATTTTGCCCAGTAAACTTTACAGACTGCATGCTGAAACTTCTACAGAATTTCTGAGACAATCTGGGGAAACCGTAAATTATAATCCATCCTTCAAGCTGGAGGATACAGCAGTTAAAATACAATAAAGGACAATTAAACTAACCTTGCCTTTAACACAAAAAGCATGGGTAATACTTAATGTACGTCTGTATATTTTTAATCTTCAAAGACCTCTGCTTTCAGAAATAGCTGAGGGAGACAGAGATGTGATCCAGCAAAAAACTCTTTTGGATGGAGAAAAGAAACTCAGAAAAGAGAGCCTTTAAGACCACTGAGAACACAGACACCACAGTGGCCCTGAGCTGCAAACAGTCAGAGGTAGAGAGAGTACCTAAAACTCATTTTTGCCATCTTATTCCCTTTCTGCCACCGTCAGAGACAGGCTGTTGGACTTTTGGTGCAATCCAGTTACAGCTGCTCTGATGTTCTTAATCCCAAGGATCTATGTAAAAACACACGTAATTCCTCCTGCATAAGGTAAATATGGTTATATAATCACTCTAATCAGGAGTAAGTCTGCCAGAGGTGGATTTCTCAAGGCAGGGTAAGCACTGCTACAAATAACAGCTTTACTTGGACAAGGAGGGAACCTCAAAGGATACAAATCCCCATGTGCCTATATGTGCAGGTAAGAACAGTGAGGAACCCCATGCAGCCTTGATTTCTGGAAAGACAAGGAAAAACTGGTGGCACAATAAAAAAATCCATTTCAACACACTAGATACTTGGATACTTCTCTTAAAATACTTGCTGGCATATAATGGAGCCATATTTATTCTGAACTATGTCTAATGAACACCAAGATTACCTTTTATTAGCTGAGCCTAAGCAGAGACAGCAATTTTTTATGGTTTTTTTCCCCAAAATCAGTCCCTACTCTGTAGTAAGCTGCCAACACCAATTGAGGGTGCCTGGTAATGCATGGAGTATTGCAGAGACATCAAGGCACAGATCTGTTCATGTTTTAGTACTGAACACCTGCTAGGATAACTGATGATGCATTCTCTGATGTTCAGGGGGAACAAAATCCTTTGCAGACATGGAAGCAGAACACTTCTACGCTCTGTTTGACTACCAGTAGTACAAACTTCACTACAGATAACTGGTCATAACTAACTCATGAGAAATTTGCAGTCCTAAACAAGATCTGATCTCATCACAATTTCTTTAGTCCCTGTCATCTTAAAAGCAGGGTCAGAGACCAATACAGAAATGTCTGAATATTTTAGTTACCAGTCAGTCTCCGCCTAGGTGGCTCAGCTGGAAGAGCAGAGGCTCACCCAAGCCTTCATTCCAACCAGCAGGCAGCTGAGCACATGACAAATGCTGATAGAGACCATTCAGCATATGGAGGTTCAGAGTAGGGAAATGTAGAGAATATAGCTGTCACCATAAAATGATGTAACTAAAAAATAAATATATGGAAGAGATAAATGACAAAAAGCAGAAGAGTATCATGTTTGACTACGAAAACAAAAATCACTGAAGAAATTCTATGAACAGCCTTAATGGAGTAACACTTGAAAATGTACCTGCAGAAAGCACGAGCAGAAGGTCATGTCACACTTCATACACAGAGAGCTGCTGACAGAACAACTTCTGAAGCACTAACTGTACAAAAGGTTACAGAGCAAATGAAAAACACTGACAACCGTCTGATATCAACTTAACATGGGCATCAAACAGATTTACAGAATTCAAGCAAGACACAAGCAGCACCCCATGACAGAGGCAAAGATTTTATGCAAAGAACAACCCTGGAACTATGTATATTTTAAATACAAAAAATTAAACTGATTTTATTTCCATGGAAGAAGCAACCAGCCTGAAGAGAAGTAATAAACGAATCCTGCTGTGAGAACAAAAATAGAGAAGCTTAGAAGAAGTGAAAATTGAATTCAGCAACAGACTTTTATGAATTGGCATCACAAAGCCAGAAAAATCTAACAACTAAAAAAAATTCTGAGAACAAACAGCAGGAGCAGATAAACCAGAAACGAAAGCACATGATTTCTATGTAATCTCAGAATATTTCAATTGAATTTTCCTGGGTTTTCATTGCTGAAAGCAAACTTAGGAGCACTAGAACAAAAAAATTATTTATATAACAGGGAATTACAAGTTCAAACTACAGGGAAATAACTAAATATTGAGAAATAATATGTTCTGCCAAATAGAAATATATGGCACTTGTTTGAAAGCTGCAATATTGACAAAATTGCTAAAATTGAACAAAAAACCTGCATCAAAACTATGAAAAACAAATATGCCAAGCATTCCTAATTGTTACATCAAAATCATAATATATGTAATATATTACAGAAAAACACTGCTATAAAGACACTGCTAAGTTTGGTTTAAAGAACCTTGGTTTCACATGAGATGATTGTGCAAAAGTGCAAGTTAAAAAATATTAAATCACATTTTAATTGCATTCTCTTTCCTGCTGTAGGGTTACTTTGATTTTTTAGAATATTTTTACCAACAGTAAATTTTTCAAAGGTGCCCAAGCGATGCATACTCCTGAAATTAGGGCTCAAGTCATTTATGCCATTTTGTACCCCAAGCCTTCATATATCTCAAATACAAAAGGCTTATTCCTTTACTATTTGCATATAATCTCACCCCTGCTTAGATGGTGCTGTATACTTTTTCTCCTACCTGCAGGCTGGGCACATGTTAAGCATGTGTGTGTCCTATGCATATGGGATTTGTGGATACACGTATATGTGAATATACAGACACACATCCACCTACACACGCATATACAAATTCTCCACTTCTAAAAACAATTTCTTTCTATCTGATTTCCAAAGGGTTCTTAATACAAACATGAAGACAATTTATTTTTTTGTATTTAATCTGCAGAAGACTTGTTTCAGCATCTCTTTTGATATAGATAAAATGTATCAAAGTCAATACCACATACACACAGAGTCATCAAATATCAAAGCAATTGCCCATTCCTTTCCATTTGGCTTCTGCAAATATCAGTAACTCTAAGTCAGCTATACTGTACAAAGTATATTGTATGTTCTGTACCACAGTAAAACCAGAAAATAGACTCCAGATGTTTCCTCAATTTCTGCCAAAAACAAAACTTGAAAAAATGCTGAAAACCAAACAAAGTTGGAAGCTCTGTTGTAGGAAAAAAAAAAGGCATAAGGAATCCATCCATAGCTTTCTCAGGAGTAAATTTGTTCTGTCTTCACCTTCTAGATAAGAAGGGTCAATCCTGAATAAGTGTAAACACAGAAACTATGAAGAAAAAAAATTCTCATTTCCTTCCAGTATATTACTTCTTTAAAATTACATCTCAGACTTTCCAGAGATTTGAGACAGGAAATTTTCAACAACTTTCACTCATTTGAAGTATATGATGCCTCTGGGACATAAAAGAGGCTCAACTTTTGGCTACACTAAAAGTAATAATGAGATTGGGACATAGCACAAATTTTCCTAATTTGTACTTTTCTCAGTTAGTCAGCATCAAAACAAGCTAACTGATACTGGCTAAGTCCTGTGTTGTTGAAATGCAAAGTAAAGGAGGTTTGCTTAAACAATCCTTCTGAGTAGGAATGACTGTCAGCTTTGCATGAGATGAAGAGTGTTCTGGGCCGATTCTTTCTCCTTTAAGTATCAAAACCAAGAGCTGCAGCACAGCAGCTTACTAAAACCACACAACACTGTCAAAACCAATCCTCTGTGCAGGGTCTTGAGATGTGACTCACCTGGCCCCACACATCCTGTAAAGACCTCTGACCTGATCAAAACATAAGCAGGTAAGAAACATTTCTAGAGGCAACTAGGATGATCTTACTTATTATACAATGAAAAATTTGCCTTCAGGATGTGTCAGTGTTTTCCCTCAGACTCAGTGGAAGTCTAGGGAAATAGTTTAGCCTTTACCTACTGTCCTGATGGGGACAGCAGGAATGCAAGTTCCAGTGCAAAGGGCTCCAAGCTGCTTGTGTGAGCAGGTATTCTTGAAAAAACAAGTGAACAAAAAAGGCCTGGATTAATCATTATTTTCATACACTTTTTTCCCATATAAAGCTTGCTACAGGATATACTTTAATTAACTGCTTATTATCAACAGATATTTTTAACTTCAGAGTAACGAATCAACAATGGAGAATTTGAAACACATGGCTTTCTGCCAGGTCTCTTGTTCTTCAGCAGGATACAGCCCTCAATCAGAACCCACTCAGTCCTGTACTTCATCATATGCAGTCCGTTGGACCAATGCAGCCATGAGAAAATACTACAAAAGCACAGCTTAGACTGGGCTCCAGTCAGAATACACTGAATTGTGAGGAGGAACACAAGTAGACATTTTACCTGCATAGCACTCTTTCCCAGCTTAACCACCTCAAACAAAGTGACAGGGTCCCCTTCTCCATTCTGCTGAGGGTGGCCATTGGCTCTCCCACGACTTGCTCCTCGAGCTCCAGCGTCAGAACGCCCCTTGTCCGCTGGAGACTTCCGGGGTTTCTTAGTGGCAGACTGGGCAAAGAAAACCAGCAGAGTGAAAGTTTATTACAGCTACATCTGAAATCACCCAGCGTTTCTTTATAAATGATCCATAAACATTACATCCTTACACCCTCACACACATTTATACACACAAAGATCATGGGATGAGCCAGGCTGGAAGGCATCTCCAGAGGTCTCCAGCCTGACCTCCTGCTCAAAGCAGGGTCAGCTAGGAAAATCAACCAGGTTGCTCAGGACTTTATCCGGTCATGTACATAGAATTTTATTTATCAGTAGTTGTTGAGGGACTATTTAAAAGCCACTGCCATGCCAAGGTAAGTAGTGGTCACCCCAAGACACTGATGAACTCCCAGTGCTGGAGTTCATGTCAGTCCCCATATGAGTCTTACACAAGACAGATATTGAGAATAACTGGTGATCTTAACTAATGAGCTAAGACAGTAAGTTATTAAAAATACATTTGCCACATTAACGTTCATTTTCTGTATTTTCATTTTCATACAGCTTTTATAAGAAACTGTGTACATAGTCAGCTCTTCAACTCAAATCACCAAATCACCAAATTTGTACAGCCAGACTTAGTAGATCACCATAACAGCCTCTTGCTTCAAAATTTTATGAGTTAAAATGTTTTCCCTTTGAGTCTAAATTATTTAATGTAAATTTTCTCTACATTCTTCAAGGTTTTAATCAGGTGGTATAGATGCTGTCTGTCAAGACTCACCTACTGAACAGTTTGCTCTGAATTTAAGTCACTTGTGAAACAAAAAAAAATTCTGGGGAAAATAACATCAGATTTCTTACTTTCATATTCTATTCTTTCTCCCTACCGTGAGGCAAACAAAAGCAAAATCTGCTGTTTCCCACAGAACAATGAAGCTATTGTGAGGAATTATATTAAAGAAAACAACACACAAACAACTCAAAAATTAAATTTTGGACAATATCCTTATGACACCGTTTTACTCAAGTATATTGTCAGCTGAGTTTCTATTAATGCTTTTAGTAAAGAACACAAAGTCAACATTTTCAGTTGCATATTAAGAATGTCTCAATGTCTCAAGACACTTTGAAAATTCTACTGCAGAGGAAAGGAATCTAATTTCTGGCAGAGAGCTGGTAGAAAACAGCCCTGCAAGTCCAGCTTCCCTCATGCTTTAAGAGGGATCCCTGCCTTAAAAGGGGTGGGGCCAGAGGGCTGAAGCAAAGGGCAAGGTAGAGCACAACCACCTCTTGCAAATATTCAATTAACGGCTTGCATAGAAATGCAAGCCAGAAAGCTTAAAATAATGGTACAATCTCTGTGAAGTTTTCTGGATAATATTTGCACTTAGGATCAAAAGAGTATCTCCCTCAATGAATTTTTAAATATGTGCAAAGCTCCCTGTAACAGCAAGAATATTATCAACATACAACATGTTTAAGTACTACTGAGCTTGAAAGACATGTGATCACTATTTATTAAAATGGGAAAGAATTAGAAGTAAATTGACTCCTTTGAGATATATAACCCATACACTTATTCCATCTGGGAGACAGTAAGCATTTCACCTAGTTACAAGAACTGCTAAATGAAAGCTTGAATGCAAACTCCCTCTACAGAAACTAATGCAAGCCCCCTCTACACTCAGTTTTTCTCAACGTGTAATTGAAAGAGAGGCATTAAACACTGCAAGGATGAAGGGAAAGGCAGTAAGAGATGGATGTGACATCCACATATCCAAAGCTACCTTGTTAATGAAAGCAATGTGAAAAGGCACCTGTGTGAGTACCTGAGCATGAGTACTACAGACACAGGTTCAAAATGTGCCATCACTAGGCATATAAATACCCAGTTTAAATTCTCTTTGTCAGGTATCCTGGGAAAAGAGAGGTGCTTTGACCACGGCTCCTTGTCTGAACTGGAAGGGCGAGATCACCACCGAGCCCTCAGAAGAGGTACAGAAATAACTGACAGATGTACTTCTGACAAATTACTGGATAAAGCCAGATTCTTCAAGTAAATACCTTAATATCCTGCCCTTGAATTAACACCAGATATATTACTGAATCTACTTGAATAAAATTTCTCTCTGGTGTAGGTTTTCTTTTGACAATGAGAACATCTCTCATTGTCAAAAGAGTGGAGAAAAATCTTGCATCTAACAAAAGCCATTGTGTATCCAAGCTGGGGTAGCAAAATACAGATGCAGGATCTTTATTGAGTCCTGCCTCTAGAGACAAAACAAGTAGACAAGATGCTCCACTCAAGATTGAAGAAAATCCAAAACGTGAACTTTCTGAGCTAGGAAAGGATTAACATTGTCTTCAGGTGGAAAGGCACTAGTGAAAGGGCATCCACCCTCCAGCACTTCCACCCAGCAGGCATCTGGCAGGAAGCCCAAGTTCTTTCATATTCACACTCCAGAGTGTGAATATGAGAGAAAGTCATATATAGGCCCTCCACCAACTGTTTGGTGCTCTAAAGTTTTGAAAGCACAAAGCACATGGCATTCCTTGGTCATTAACACACAATATTACAATGCAGTTGTCAAACATTATTTGCACATAATGTCTCTGAATTTACATCAAGAAACTTTGTAGGCCATGTGTTGACAGGTTTGAGCTCCATACAGTTTCCTCCCTCTGAGCACAAAGTTCAGTAGGAAATGCTACTTCAAAGAGACCAATCAGCCACTGGAATCATCTCCCCAGGGAACCTGGGGTCTCATCAACATTGGACAATTCGGATTCAGCTGGACAGGCTGCTAGGGCATCTTTTCTAGATTGTGTTTTTCCCAGACAAGGTTGAACCAAATGATCTGTGAGGTCCCTTCCAACCTGGTATTCTATGATTCTATCCCAGGATGGAGACATCCTCTACCACCACGGAGCAAGTGAAGGAAAAGGCAGGACTGGTACATCTGCAGAAACACAGAGAAGACTCGTTCATAATACAGAACATCTGTGGCATATCTCCAAAGGCAGGGTGCTCTTAGAAGTGGAGTTGCAAAAGCTACAAATCTAAGAATTATGTTTGTTTTTGACGATGACAGGCACAGGTAACAGTGCATCCCAGAAAAGAGACACACACACTCACAGGAAAGGGTGATCCTTCTGAAAAAAAAAACGAAAACAAACAGAACCTGTTCTCTAATGCCATGAAGGGATTCCACACAGAAATAGACCTGCTTAAGGCAGCCCCAGTAAACCTGTCAGACTATCACCGACAGCTCTAAAATGAAATGCTTAATAAGATCAGAGTGAAAATGTAGCAGGTCTCCTCCCCCGGATCCACCTAATGCTCAACAAGACACAGGAAAAACAGAATCTCTGAGTCCTAACAGTAGGAGAAATCATTATTTTTGCACACCATTTTATAGCTTTCAGCCAGAAAGTTCCATCCTGAAGTGGGGGAATTAGGACTGACAAAGGAAAGGATAAAGCAGCGTGACAAGGTAAGAATGCTTGAGGCTTTTTAATCACACCCAAAAAAAAAAAGTTGCATGGAGCTGTGAGGCTGCAGCAGTTGCATTTGTGATTTCACTCCAAAACCCAGGACAGCTTGGCTGGTGTGATGTCAAAATGAAACAGAAATTACTGATGATTTTTGAAATCTGTGACAACAAAACCCTAGGGTTTATATACACCAGCATTAGGAAATTCAGAAGTTCCAGAATATGCCGCAGAAGCAACAACCAAAAATGGCCGTATTGATTGTCACATACCTTACCTGTTGCTTTAAGGCTTCAACAAATGCAAACAGGAAACAAAATACTCACCTTGACTGCAATTAAACTAGAATGATGACAGTTCAGGATTTTCTAACAAATTAGCTACATAATACTTTTCCTTTCATGTCTTTAAAATTACCAAGAAGAAAATAAACTCACACACATTTGTAAAATCAAGTAATACAGTGAAAATTAATTCACACACTACCAAAAAAAAAAGTGAAGGTGGCTTGACGTTTTACATTAACATACCCCAAGTTGATGTGATGCACTTCATGAAGAAATAAAGTCCTAGAGTCAGTAACTCCACCTAACACACCACCTGGAAACAATGACCGGTATGTGCATTCACACTGGGAGTCAGAGGAATAAATATCCCATTTCCCAGGGAAAGTGGTAGAAGCTTTGTAACCTCCATTTGAGTAAGACTGAAGAACTTGCCTCTCCAAGGCATTAGCCCCTCAAGAGGCTCTGTGTTATAAGCCTGTGTTAAGCAAAAGAAGAGTAATGCCTGAGGTCCTCATGGATTAATTCTGATTAAAAAAAGACTATGACACATCTCATACCATCATCACCGTTATCCAGGGAGAAGTTCTTGGATTCCAACAGTCCTGTGGGCTGTTTTGGTCATAGAAATAAACATGGTGCTACCTGTGAAAAGTTTCATCCTACAAATAAAGACAGGTGCATGTCCCCTAACACCCAGTGCATCCAGAGCTGCTTCAGCTGCAGCCCTTGCAGTTTAGGATGAAAAAAGTAGGAGTGTTGGGGAGTGGTAGTGCTATTTTTCACCCTTATTTAAAAATCTATCAAGAGTTCTAAAAGTCATCTTAAAGAATCAAGAGAGTACACTATAAATGCTTGAATAATTTCAATTCTTCTAGCTGAGGCATTTAGTACCAAAAAAAGATTTTTTTCCACAGAAAAATGAACAGATTGCCGAAAATACAAGAACCATCCCATCAAAAGCTTAAAAAGAAAACTTCTAATGCTACAGGTAACAGGATAGAAAAGTCTTCACAAAGATGCTACAGATGCACTGCATTTCTACTGACCTAGAGACTTCCTTCATTTGTAAGGGACAGATCTAAACCATCAGGCAGCAGGCAAGCTGAAACAGGACACTGATGTAAATCACACCAACCACAAACCTCCACTGCTATGAAAAGAAATTCTTCTAAGAGGATTCCTCCGTTATTAATCAGGACACGTATGACTTGGAACTAGAAGCAAAACTCAATCCCCTGCTGTATCTAACATCTATACTGCAAGATAAAATAAGACCAGGAATCTGCTGCAAAGTTAAAATTTCCAATATGAATGCAAAGATAAGGCACTGTGGTCTGTCTCGTCCATACCAAAATCTACAAAAGGACCTGAAAGGAAAATTGTACAGGCTTTTCTGGGGACAAAAGCATCAGAAGTGCCTTGTTTCATCTTGTTTTAGGTGACTCTGAGTATGAATGAGAGAGAAACCAGCAGAGATCTCCAAATTGCCACCTCTGGAACAGACAAACTGATGTTTCTCCCTGTACTCTGAATTAGAGTTTAGAACTGTCTACTCCTACCTCAAATCTGAAAGACAGCCAGGGATCTCTCTCACTGCCTCAACCTCCAGCAGCTGAGGTTTAAGCCAGGCTGTTCTGAGCTCCTGGGAAAGTGAGGATGAGCAGTTTAAAATAAAGCATGCCAACAATGCTGAACAAAGTGTTGATCCAAAAGAGGAGACAAAAAAGGATGGGTAAATAGCTGATCTGAGCCTGAGCTCACTGATGTGAATGCTACACTGCATCATAAGCCCTTGTGCTTTCAAATCCCCTAGAACAGGAGAGTACATCCATACCCATGTATTTCAATAATGTAGCAGGCAGAGAGGGCAATTTGGCCAGTATTACTCAGGAGATTCAAGGAGAGGACTGTTAGAATTCACTCCTTAAATAGATCCCCAGAATTCATTTAAATACATACCGAGATGGTATCACAAACATGTGCACCACAATATCCCACTGGCTGGACAGGTTCAGCTCTTGGCCAGTCACTCCATGGGCATCTGCTCTAGGAGACTCAGTGCTTAGGAGGGTACTTGGCCAATAGCCAGCCCCAGCCACTAGAGCAGCCCCTGCTAAACGCACAGCAAGGGCAGGGAATTCTGAACAGTCAGGTTTGATTCTGAGAGATATTCTGCAAGACCAATGCACTTAATCTATTTGCAAATTGACTCTCTAGACTACTCAGTCAAGTACTCATTAGAACAGTGTATAGAAATGAAGGGGCTACTTAAACAGCAGTGCTTTAGAATGGAATGACTTGGATTGAATGGAAATCCTAAAAATCAACTAGCTCAAAGTGTTTTAGAAAGTAAAGGCACCCCCAAAGCATTACAGTTCTTTATGAACTGAAGAGGTATTTGCTACAAAAGCAGTGTTTCAAATGAGCACCATCTTCCTACAAAGGTCTCAAATCTGCAGAGAATGTCTTTCTTTGGAAAACAATCTGGAAAATCCTCTTGTAGTAGTGTATCTTTCTGATAAAATGTCAAGTCCATTCTGTGACACTCAGCAGAAACCTGTTTAAAATACATACATATATTTGCTGGAATATATTCCAGGCAGCTCTGTAATAGGATCATGCAGCACAAAGTAAAGTCCCTTTCCAAAAGAGGTCAGTATGTTTATGGCAGATGTGCCACTGTAGCTGTGGTGGCCTAAGGACTTCAACAAATCGGCATTTACAGGAAGAGATTAAATCTTATTAGAGCATATTTTAGTTAGAAAAAATTCCCAGCCACAGAAATGAGAAGAGCCTTTGGGCTACCCTCTTCAGGTCTACAACAGAAATGAAAATCATCTAAGCTAAATCTCAGTTATGAAAAACATTTCTGAACTTAACTAAACCTTTCAATCTGTTTCACATCTGGCAGTAAAGGTAGGTAGTACCTGTGAAGGAAACAAAAACCACAGTAGTGAAGAGTCAGGGCTGGGGGGGCAGAATGTCACAGCTGCACCTCCTGTAAGAACCAGGCAGTTCTCCTGAGGGAAGTGACTGGGTTAGCAACACGGTTTGCTAAAGCAATACAATTACCAAGTCCCTGGCTCTTAACATCAAATAATGCTGTAAATTCAATTGCCTAGATTAGCATTTCCAACATTTTTGCATTTCTCCTCTAGACATTAGACATTGAGTGACTTTTTGCTTTAGGAGCTTTTTTTTTTTTTTTTTTGTAGAAGAATCAAAGGAGAAATTTATCATGAAGTAAAATGGATAGGCACCTAAGAGAAGCTGTGCAGTCTCCAGCCTTGGCAGTTTTCAATTTCGAAATCAAACTGGAAAAGCCATGAGCAATGTGGTCTGATCCCAAAGCTGCCCCACTCTGACTAGGAGGTTGCACTGAGATCTGCTAAGTCCCATTCCATAAATGACCATGTTGTTTTTCTTCTCTGAAACTCTTCCAGTCCTAATATATGCTTTCCTGAGATTTTGGGATGGAGGTCAAAAGGGAAAGAGAAAGTAGAAGTGAGAAAATTCTTCCAAATTTTGACAAGCTACAGTTTTATAAAGGACACCGTACTTGTTTCATTCTCTATTTTCTTCCTCTAAGTTTTAAGACTGGATTTGGGGTTTTTTGACTCCTCTTGAGCATTAAGTTGAAGCCTCCACAGAATCTCTCTTGATAACCCTAAGGTCTTGCAGCAGCAAGCAGCTCACAGCCCATCACTTTGTGAATGAAGCAATGGCTGGCTTCCTCTGCACGTTCATCACGTGACAATCATACATACCTAATGAGCCTGGAGTTGTTCTAAGCAAAATGAGCAATTCCTCCCTTAGAAACCTGATAGCAGGACCAGCAGAGTGCTTCAGTAAATGTTCCCATAGGAGATACTAATAAACTGAAGCAGAGGAATGAGAAATGCTTTTTGTAACCTTCACCTTTCTCTTCCAGTGAGTGTGGGCTGGGTACAAAATACCACCCCTAGTGTTGCTATAACTTGAATTCCTATATTGTGACAACATTCTGGGTTAGCAATCAGGTTGCACCAGCCTGCTTTTTTTAATTAGAGCTACAAAACCCTATAGCTTTGCTAATGAAGTATTCATAAGATAATTTTTCATTTTATCCTTTGCTTACAAGCTATGTAAACAGATAAGCTGTTCTCTTTAAACACTTAAGGCTCACTCTGAAGAGGCTTCATGTTCATGAGCAAATCCATTTATCTGATGAAGAATACGTGCATCATAAGAAAGTGTTCAAAAGCTTTCAAAAAGGAAGACAACATGCCTAGAAAAGACCAGGATTTAAAATGTTGGCACCCTGAGTAAGTCCAGAGACTGTGATGTAAATTGAAAACCAACCGTAAAGAGGAATTTGCTCCAGCTTGGCCAGCATGCCTGAGGAACACATGGATCTGTCCATTCTTACAGCCTCACCAAGCCCATGGCTTGAGATAAGCCTTAGGATCAAAGCCCTCAGGGTTAAAAAAAACAACAAAACATCTTCATCTACTAGTGCTATATAGATGTCACATTCATATTGTGACTTTATTCATAGAGCAACACTAAGAGGTGAATCAAACAAACACAGAGAAGTTCCCACCAAGTCTTAATCCACACTATGTACTTCAAGTGATACAGCCAAAAGAGCCAAACTGATAATTTTCAAGAACCAAGATGAAGGACAACATGACACACAGAACTTTCCCTTTATTTTTCAATAAATTGGCTATTTTATAAAATAAATGAAAATAAGAGAGAAAGCCTCCCTAATACCCTGTGTAATAGGGAACTGTTTCTGTATGTTCCTACTGATAGGCCAAGCAGGGACAAAGACAACCTTATCACCTACTTCATTATGCCAGAGGATTCGTTGAAGAGCTCCCATTCTGTAAGTAGAATGCAGTGCATGTCAATCACATGACTTCTAAAATAGATTTTCTCAGGAATCTAGTAAATATCATGCTGCAATTCTTCTATTCACATTAAAAGACTATCAGTAATAAAAAGATGGCTCAAATGTCATTTGTCACGTGAAGTCCATTACAACTTTCAAGAAGAAAGTGGCTGTACTTACTGAAGTTATTCTCATATCTGTAAGAATGTTGTAACAACAGTAATAACAAAACTGTATTGTTCATGAAAGCAGCTAGCAAAAGAAAAATTAATAGCTATTATGAGATCATTTTTATGCCCTTTTTTAAACACTCCAAACATTGTTTGCACATCAATTTGATAAATATTTCATACTACAAGTCTTCATAAAGTCTGACATAGGACTCATTAAAAGCCTATTTATGTGACCACAAGATGATCAGATGAAAAAGAGTCTGCAGTCAATTATAAACAGATGCATAACAAAACAAAAATAAATTACATAGATGCATAACAAAAGCAAAACAAATTACACATACTGGAGGCCTGCCGGGACGGCCCCTTTTTCTTTTTCCTTTGACTTCTGCTTCTTCAAGCTCACTGCCAGCATCTGAATGTGCAGTAGTTTCGTTTGTAGAATCCCTAGGGTGGAAAAACATTAGAAAAATTCAAATTATTTGAAATCAACAAGTAGTCTGTAACTGACCAATTAAATACTTAGTCCTGAGACAGAAAACAAATAAATAACAAAAAAAAGTTGGCATTGAAAGGCTTTCCCCATTTATTCTGCAAACCAAGGACAGAGCATTGTTAGCCCTGGCAAAAGGCCTTCCTTCTTCATTGGCTGCAATGTCATTTTATTGAATGGAATTCCTTAAATTAATTTTCATTTGAAAACACGTTACACTTCAAAACTGGCTGTATTACCCAGCATATGCTCAATTCATCAATCCTACAATGCATTCACTACCAAGAACTTCCTTTTATTCTTTGTAGCTGCTTCTGAGCTGCTCTCAAGGCCCCAAGAGCAATGTGGAGTCCAATCCAGCTGTCTCATCATTAGCACAGTTATACAAGGCTCCACACAGCTTACACCACGCTCTCACTCACACCCCAAGACAAGGGGCTTGGGCAGCTGTTAATAAAGAGGATTCATGCTGACTGTGAGGCCCAAACCCAAAAACTCCCTTTGATCTGAAGACATTTATAATTTTTGCAGTTAGAAAAATATTTTTGCTTGTACAATGGAAAAGCTTTGACACTGCTCAACTCCTGTTAGCAGAGGAGCCCGAACAATAATTTCTCATTTGTTGCCATTTCAGAGTTAAGATCATGATAAGAAAAAATCAAATTCCTCCGATTTTCACAACCCCTCCCAGCCAGACGCAGAGGTACTTCTCTGCCTTCCAAATAGATGTGGCTGCTTGAAGAAACTCACATTTTAATTGATCTTTTGAGGCATTAGATCTTACCCAAGAGCAGTTCACATGCAAAACCTCACTTGCTACTGGTGGGCTTTAATTTTACTGTGCAAGACCACCAGTGCACCAGATCTCTAAAAAATTTCATTTACAACTAATAATGTCCTAGATTACTCAAGGATGGGTCAAGTGTAGTTACAACCATAGACTTCTTTAAATCCAAAATAATTTCATTGAAGTGAAAAGAGTTCAGTTGCTGTACAACCTGTGCAAAGGGAAGGTGAAAACCAGACTTATTCCATATTTAACAGCTTCAAACATCAATGGCAGCATTAGTGATCTGCTCAAGCGAAACTGAGAAACTCCAGCAAGCCAAGACCTACACAGATCTTCCAGGTTGTCTGGGGGTTATTTTGTATTTTGCTCTAGAGATCGGGAATACTTCACAGATTTGTTGTATCACCAAGAAAGGTATTTAATAATGCAGAAAGATATCACTGTATCAGAACTGGGAATGTTCTCATACTCCTCTTTACTGAAATTACTGTATTGCCTAGGTCTGCTGTCACTTAAATAATTCTGCAGAACTATAATGAATTTCTAATATTAAGACATTGATTTCCTACCTTTTCCTACTTGCAAGCAGAAAAACATCAAGGAGTTCACAGAATCTTTTACAAAAGCCAGAATGCAGAACATGTATGAATCTCTTTTACTGAAAGTAACTTTGGTGGATTATCTCTAAATACTCTAGACATCCCAGAAAATCAAGCACCCTAGATGAAAAGCCACTATTCAAGTGCATTTGAGTTCACAAATTACATGCTTGTAATGCAGTACCTCTACAAAATATTGAAAATGCAGCTTTGTTGTGATACAATTGAAAAGAAGCTTTTTCACTTCATAAAATATGAAATTTGAAAAACTTAGTATCAAGCTGTGTGTTTGGAAAAACACACAAAAATATAAAAATACTAAAATCAAATAAAAGATACCGCAAACGGAGTTCAAAATTGTTTGGTAGATTAGGGCCATAGCAGAGAAAAGCAATGCAGTAACTACAGTGGAAGACATGCTTATGCAGATGGATGTATCTAGCCTTTACTCAAATACCTCATCACACTGCAAGTCAATTTGACAAAAATGTACATTGGTTCACAATGGTAATTTTAGTAGATTCTGAATATAGAAGTAAGGAACCCCATAAAAATATTTGTTCCCTTCTGTTGCTGGAGAGAAATTAAAACGATTCTCTATTGCTCTCTCTAAAAAAAAAAAAAACCAATTTTTTTTCTCTCTGGTCTGCTCAGATCCTTACTGGAAAAGTTTCAGGCATGGTGTGTCTATCTAAACAATACCCCCACTCCTGGGGAAATCTGTGCTTTGCTAGCTTTTAAACTTGCACCCCTAGGATCATCAGGATAAAAATTTCTATTAAAAACAGATTCAGCAATCCTCCTAGGCAAACAGCTCAAACCCTTCCCTTGAAACACCAGAGCGATATAAATAAATTACACTCTACTACTACTTCACATGAAACTACTCCACAGAGAATTTGACTTTCCTATACAGCTTCAGTCTGGTCTAGCAAAACCTCCAAATAAATTTGTCTATTTAGTTCTGGAAATTTCAAATCTTTCCAAATACTGCATATGAAAGAAACAGTTAAGTTATTAACCACCTTCTGTTCTTTGCCTTAAATAGATCTGCCTTAAACATAATTTTCTATTCTTCTGGTAAAACTTTTCAAATTTGCTGGAAGTCTCTTTGGCCATTTCCCTTTTTAGGAAAAGCTCAATAAATTAGTACCAAGGGTGAGATTCATCTAATCTAAATTAGAAACATTTGCAATGCAGAAAATCTTAATGTACAAGGTACCTCATGCTAAGGTCAGTGTTGAAAACTGGTCAGACAGTTTAAGTCTTATAAATTTTGTTTTCTCTCCATTGATAATAAGGTGATCAAGACAAGCAGCTTGAATATAAATGTTTCAAATTAAACAAAATAAAACTCACCCTAACAACATGTGAGGAAGAAAGGAAACATATTTCCAGCAAAGAATATATGTAAAGCAGCAAGGGGAAAACATCAAAAACTAGATTCCCTTCAGTCCTCACATTATTTGGAGTAAGGAGACAGGATTAAGGACAACCTGCAGTCTTTAGCTGGTTTCATATGAAAATAAATGTAATTTCAAGCAGCAAGGAATTCTGTTTGAATCAACAAACTCCTACACGAAAAGGCCCTTCCAGTGTGGCTGGGAGCCCTTTCAGTTGGGGAGGTAATGCCTCTTGCTTCTGTCCCAGCCTTGCACTTGCTCTGGGTACACACACATGCCCCTTTTTTCTCTTACTTCTGAACTCAGAGCAGCAGTACAGCATCTCCTAACTGCCTGCAGTTCTGACAGTTTGTAACACTCAGTGAGAGAAGCAGCTGGCCGGCATCCATCTCCCTCATTCCCTACACATCTTGCAGAACTGTTAAGAAGTAATTTATCTGGTGGCAGCTATCCACGTCTTAATAGACCAGAATTATCCTATCCTCATTCCACTGTGTGTGACTAGGCACCTGAGGGGGAAATTTTGTCTTAGTCATAATTTATCCTTCCTGAAGCAGTTGGAGGGAAGATAACCTGAGCCTAAGGAAACCTGCCTCATCTAAGGAGAGGTGGAAGTGCCTAAAGCTAAACCTTTCCTCTCTTAAGACTCGTTTGAAATGACAGGGACATGAGAGAATTTGACAGAGGTGGGCGGGAACCTACAAGATAGGGGTGAGCAGAGAAAAGGAGACAAGCGATAAGCTCTTTTCAGGGCTCAGGTATATTCTGCTTTGCTTTCTGGTTTCTGTGGTGACTAAAGCATCCTAGAAAAGTGGCAGCAACTCCAGGATCCCTTCTAAAAACTCCAGATATTATTCTAGAGTTATAATTACTAATCCTTGACACTATCCATGTTAATGAAGAATTAACAGATCACTGGGCAGCCCCTGACCATGTCATGCTTCTGAAAAACATGTTTCCATTAACACAGTAAATTTCACATCTCTGTAAAACAAACTAAAATTAATTTACCTTTCTTCTACTATTCCACAAAGCCCTAGCTATAGAGTTTATAGATCATGCCCCTTTAAAAACATACCACAGCAAAAACCTGTGTTTATGTATCAGGTTTTGTAAAAAAAAGAAACCAAAACACTTCTCTAAGTTTTTATCTCTGTTTGCTGAGGGGCTCACATTCTGGCAGAGATAAATTCAGTAATTGCTACCACCAGATTCAGCCTTGTGAAAAAAGCATTCATGAAGAAAAATGGCTAAATGCACAGGCTCATGAATCATGGACGAATCAGTTCTCATGGTCGATCTTCAAAAAATCTAAGGAGTAAATATGAGCCATGTCATTGAGAGAAGATTCACACCTGTCACACAGATCAAATACACCAGACGATTTCTCCAAGCATCTGAAACACCAGTAAGTGAAATCCTGTCTTTACTGTGTTTTGAAACCACTTCTATGAATCTAGAAAGGTTAAAGATTCTCCTTTCATGTTCCCTTGACAAAGAATAACTTGGGAGAGAATATATAATATGGTCCTAAGCAATGTATATTAACATATTAAGTTGGCTTTAGGATTGTTTCTTTAAAGAGGGTAGCCAAAAAGATTACAAAAAAGAAGTAGAAATTAAGGACAGGAATGGGAGATTATATAATCCTTCAAATAATTCATTTACGAGCTAGAAAAACCTTGGTTTTCTGTGTGGAACTGGACTGTGTCTTCCCATATCTGTAAATGTGTGAGGCTAATACCCCCTAGCCCAAAAATTGTTTCAGGTTTCCTCAGCCTTAGCCAGCGCTCTTCCTGGCTGGGACCTTCTGAATTAGAATTTATCACTTCCTTTGATACTTCATCCACACTAGCCAATATTCTTTCTGAGCCCTCAGGAGAGACCCAAAACTTTTATGTGCAAATTATACTGAGTTTTGTGTAAACTGAAAGACCTCCTCTTATTCAAAAGCAATCAAAACTACATGTATTGTTGAGGATGACATCTCACCAACACTTCACAGAGTAGCATTAAATTATTCCCAACTTTACCAGAAAAAACAACATTCATGCTTTATTTCACTCTTTGATTTGCTTAATATCACTGGTTCTGAGTAAAGAATATGCCACTATATTTAAAGTCCCTCAGGTTTTTCAGCTGGTGTGTAGTTACCAAATCCATTAATATGCACTTTTTAACTTTAAACTCTGTGATATTCCATTCACTTTTTAAGTCCACCTGGGTTCTTGAAGTGCAAATGCAAATATCCCTTTCCCACCACTACCATCACAGATTCTCCAAGCTTTTTGTTCTTGGCATATTTGACAAACATTCCCTCACTGCTTAAATGTGGCAAATCCAGGAAATATGAACCAAGAAAATGTTCTTCCACAACTAATCCTCAAGCTAACAAGAATCCCCTCAGGCTGACACCCCGCCTCAGCGCTGCCCATCAAGGTCATCCCCAGCTTTAGCCTGTACTCATCCACAACTAAATTTTTTTAAAGAGGTTTTAAAAATACAAGTGAAAACTGTAATGAAAAGCATGCTATTATTAATGTCAGACAAATTTGGTTTCAACTGTCCAACCATTCAGTTTCTTATATAACAGGCCTTGAAATCTTAGCTTCGAATGCCACTCAACCCTGATAACTAAGGTTAAAAAAAAACCAAATTAGAAAACGTTCCAAGCTAAAATAAACTAACATTAGATAGTTACCAAGTGTAGCTGGCACAGGTGCCTGGCACTGGCAGCACAGTGGTCACACATGGAGCTCTGTGAGGGGATGGCGGGGGGCTCTGAGGGGATGAAGGACTCTGTGAGGGGATGGTAGGAGGCTCTGTGAGGGGATGGTGGGGTCTCTGAGGGGATGAAGGACTTTGTGAGGGGATGGTGGGGAGCTCCTGTGAGGGGATGGTGAGGAGCTCCTGTGAGGGGATGGTGGGGGGGCTCTGTGAGGGGACGGTGGGGAGCTCCTGTGAGGAGACGGTGGGGAGCTCCTGTGAGAAGACGGTGGGGAGCTCTGAGGGGATGAAGGGCTCTGTGAGGGGATGGCGGGGGGGCTCTGTGAGGGGATGGCGGGGGGGC